AAAGAGAGACACATGTCCAACTGCTCAAGATAAAGACGCGTTACAGTGGCATATCTTGCATCACCTTTCCACATCACATCTGCTGAGCAAATAAACTTCTGTATCAGACCACACAGCGTCCTTTCGTGTCTCAGCAACTCTTGATGACACAGCATCATACCCTGAAAGCAGCTTCTCTTTCTCACCTTCCATCTCACAGAGGAAAATACTTGAGCAATACACAAGGCACGCACTAGCTCTGATATATGCAGACATACCCTAGTCTCAGATATATACGTATGTTATTTTACAGTTGTGACCTCTTCACAAAGGCATTTATGATTATTCCCTCTTTAAAAACTTTTCATGTTTTACTTGCATTGATATTCACTGCTGTTTTAACAAACAGTGTTGAGGAACAGGGATAGGAGAGAAAAATCACTGAAACTTTGGACATGGGAATATTCAACCTGGTGAGACAACTAGAACCTATTATGAAAAAAGGTGTTAAACAGCTCCTGTTAAACTCCTTAATGATGAGCTGCATTTTCATTTTACACACAGAATTATAAAGTCTTAATAAGTTGCACAGACATTTTTCACTACGGGTTACTAATAAATGCTAAGGTGCTCATTTAAACAAAGGCTTTAGCAGGTCAGTAGTCACAGAGAGGGAAAGAAGCAAAAATCCAAACCATTCAGCTTCCTCTCCTACCAAGCACGACTTCCTTTTCGGGGCATTCAGCACTTCTGTCCAGTTCTCCTCTGCTCAGACTCCTCAGACACATGTCACTTCATCATATTATCATGCTTTCATCACACAACTCTTGTCTGAAACCAAACACACGTGGCCACACCATTTCACATCCTATATCTGAATGCTGCTGGAGTGTGTTCAGCAACATCTCTGTTTAGAGCCTTCCTTCCTGTGTGACTCACTGCTGCTCTGACAGCCATGATGGCAACCTCAGCAGAATCACAGGCAGCCCACAGCTCCCAACGACAACAGCCTGCACACATTGGCATCACAGCACATTCAGCCAGCATCCCAACGAGGCTCCAAACACCAGTGGCACGCTGTGTCTGTTAGTGGCATCACTATCACCAGCAAGAATTTGTTGTGCTGCTGTTCAACTTTGAAACAGCTCCAAACAGAAAGCCATATCAGCCTCACGTTTTCATTCTGGCATGCAGGAATCTGTGGGAATGATCTGCTAAACAAGGCCAGCAAATTTAATGATTCCAGCTCATACTAACACCTTCCAGCAAATCTATTGACTACGACTGCTGAGAATACATTACTTGATTCTTGGGTTACTGCATCACCACACAAATGCATGAAGCTGTCATCATTCCAAACCTGAGTTTTACCCATGGACTTATTTCACATAAATACTCAGAGCATCCTTACTGCATGCACACTTTAAACACACACACAGTGCTACTAAGCTTTGAGACAACAGACACAAAAGTGCTGAAGTTCATACAAGAACTGTAACATAACCATCAATTGCATTTCAACTTCTAAACTCTCTGGTCAACTTGTAAGGCTGATAGATAAAGGCTGAAGTGAGAATTTGGTCAACAAAAAGTATCCAGGACATAAAGCACTTGGTTTATGAAATCAGACTAGGGTGCAGCTGGTTAGTGACACTGCTGCACTGCACCAGTAACTCCAACCAGACTGCACTGAGCAGCCACAATGAGTTTTGTCTGAACAGACAGACATCAGCTGCTTTCCTTGCTACAATACTGTGTGTCCTTATGCACACAAAAAATAAAGGGATAGATCTTGTGTGATTTACCTCACAGATGACTACAGGTCACACAGTCAATTTATCACCTGTTTTTTTCCAAACCAGCATTCTACTTAACTTTCCAGATCCACACGTACACAACCAGCCCTACCTCAAGGTTGCAAGTATCTTCAGATGCACCATAATATGGCACACACTTCCACAGAGCATTAGCTCTGGAAATATCCTTTGTGAGATGACTGGAAGATGTCTGTGTAACAGCTAAGCTTTATAAAGATCCTGGAAAGTTATCTACAGTCCATTCCACAAAGTCAAGTATGTGCACATTTGGGTTCTTACTGATGCAGATGTATTTTAACACTAAGAGATTTGCTCTTAGGGACTCCCTGATTTCTGTAAACTGCAGAGTTGGAAAGCTGTGATAGCTCCTCAGTGAGGACTTCAACCAACAGATATTCAGCTTTCATAACAGTAAATGAGCAGTACAGACTAGCTCTTTTGTCACTGAAGTAAACCACTTGCCAAATACTCCTTGACAAATAATGCCACAACACCTTACAGTGCTACCATCTACCAGCCACTGATCCAAACCCTCTACTATAAGTTTACCCTCCTCCAGTATTTGTAAAGTAAACAATACATTCTATTTTGAGCACATCCCTGCATTTAGGCAACCATGCAAACGGGAAACTCTCCACAGCACCAGCTCTTCTTCACAAGAAGAGATGCACAAAGAGCCCTGTGTCTCACAAACAGCTTTTCCTTTCCTCACACCTGAGTTGTGGACAAATAACGTAGCCAGTGGTTTAATAGCACCTTTAAAATGGTGGTCTCAAACATGAAATAGCAATTCTTACTGCATTGTTATATTGAGAAATAAAAAACCCAGCAGTGCTTGCCTCAGAATTTCTCAAAGCTCTGTTACTTACCAATTACCTGTAGAAATTCTGTGTTGCTGATCTGGGAGTCACTGATGCTAAAGGTCTCTTCTTGTCTTACCTCTCCTAGCAGAAACCCTTCCTGCAATTTCAAGGGAAACAAACAAAAGACTAAAAATAGAAAGAAAAACCCCACAACATACAGTAACTTATTGTAACTTTCCTAGTATTAAATGGAAGTCTAAATACAAAGCTATTGCTTGACATAAGCACATGGGCTGTTGCAGGTATAATCTTACATTAACCAGGGTTTATACTCTAATAATAACACTGTAGTAATGAGCCAGCCCATTACAACACAGGGATTTCATGACCAAAAACACTCATTTTAGTGAAGTGAATGCACCCTCCCTGGAAGCATTCAAGACAGGCTGGATGGAGCTGAGAGCAACCTGGTTTAGAGACAGGTGTCCCTGCCTATAGAATCACAGAATGGCCTGGGTTGAAAAGGACCACAGTGCTCATCCAGTTCCAACCCCCTGCTGTGTAAAGGTCGCCAACCAGCAGCCCAGGCTGCCCAGAGCCACATCCAGCCTGGCCTTGAATGCCTGCAGGGATGGGGCATCCACAGCCTCCTTGGGCAACCTGTGCCAGTGCCTCAGCACCCTCTGGATGAAAAACTTCCTCCTCATATCCAACCTCAACCTCTCCTGTTTCAGTTTAAAACCATTCCCCCTTGTCCTACCACTGTCCACCCTTATTCTCCCTCCTGTTTATATGCTCCCTTCAACTACTGGAAGGCCACAATGAGGTCTCTCCAGAGCCTTCTCTTCTCCAAGCTAAACAAAGCCCAGTTCCCTTAACCTTTCCTATAGGAGGAGGTTGGAGCTAGATGATCTTAAAGGTCCTTTCCAAAACCATTTTATGAGGCCATGATTCCATAAGCAGTACTGCACTCCTGCAAGGAAAGCACACACTTCATAGAAAGACACTGCCTCCTGTCCCAGCCCCACGGCCACACAGCAGGCAGGGAGCAGCCCTAAGAACACCACAGGCGGTCCAGAAAGCAGAGTTCTCATCTACAGAGACTGGAACAGAGGGATTTGGGAACACCGCTCCTGGGCTCTGATAAACACCGCTGTGCCCGCAGCCCCCACGCACGACGCCCACCGAGCAGCCCCATACCTACCCGGACCCCCCCACCCCCACCCCTCAGCCGGGCCGCAGCGGCCGCTCAACGCGCCCCGCGGGCGAAGGGCCGCTCTTCAAAGCCCAGCGAGGGCCGCTGCCTCCGGCCCCCCTAAGCGGGCTGAGCCCTGCGGACCCAGAGCCGCCGCGCCTCAAAGAGGCGGCACCAGGCACCTACGTGGTCGGCGCTGCTGTTGGCGCTGAAGTAGCAGACGGAACTGAACGTGTAGCCCGAGATGGAAGCCGCCATGATGAAGACCACTGCCGCCGCCGCCAACGCTCCCACAAGGCAGAGCGCGCCCGACGCCCTCCTACTTCCGGCGGAACGCGGGGGCTGCTGGGAGATGTAGTCCGACCGCGCGCAGGATGGCCGGGGAATCATGGTGTCCTTCGAGGTCATCCAATGCATTCGCACCAGCGCCAGGCTGTGTCTGTGAGCACCACAGCTACCAGGATGGAGACTCCAGCTTCTGCAGCTGCCTGGCCGTCCCTTACCACGATGGGGATTCTTCCTGAGGTCTGAGCCTTGCCTGGGTCAGCCTAAAAGCAGTGCGATTATGATGGTTTATGTGGTGTGGTCACAGATGAAATGGATTCTCTTTTCCCATCTGGGACCAGGTTGGATAGGGCCCTGGGCAACCTGGTCTAGTATTAGATATGGAGTTTGGTGGCTCTGCCTGTTGCAGGGGGTTGGAGCTTTGTGATCCTTGGAGTCACGAATGATTCTATGACTCTGTGATAGTTGTGTATAAGTCAGATTCTCTAGTCAAGAGACATCGAAACAATAGCGCAAATCTTTTTTTTAATAAAGATTGCCTGGACTTTGGGCAGCCCTCATGAATTAAATGATGAGAATCTGTCCCCTTGGAGCTGAACTGCTCCTTACAAGCACACTATCCATTGCTTTCAGTGAAACAGTTTGGTATGATGATAAATTGTGAGCCAGAAGAAGAACGAAATGTTGGCTTTGAAAATGCTTAGGCAAAGGACGCTACAGTGGGGCAGATCTGAGCAGCACCCTGTTGTAACCCCCTGAATTTCAGCGCTAGAAAACAAGCGCTTTCGTCCAAAGAAAGCCCGGCTCCAGGGGGCCGGCTTTGCGGAGAAGCCCGGCAGCACGGAGCGCCGGTCCTCCACACCGCAAGGGCGGCGCCCTCTCCTCCCGCGCCCTGCGCCAGCCGCACTCTATGGTAGCGCCGCGCTTCCGGGCGGGCATGGCGGGCGGCGGGGAGGAGCCCTTCGCGCCCTCGGCGCTGGGCACCAGGCCTCAGTGAGTGGTGGGCTGTGGGCAGGGCCGGCACCGAAAGCATCACCCGGCCTGTGGGAGTGCCTGGCCTCTTCACAGCCGTTTGGTTTCGGTTGTGAAGTGCGCTCTAGGTGGTCCCGTGACATAGATGCGGGCTCGCTCTCCTTTTTCCCCCTCTTTGAAGTCGTTCGCAATGCTAATTGCCGTATCTTCTTCTCCCTCCCTGTAGCTGGGATGCTGCGTATGAGAGAGAGCTGCAAGCTTTTCAGGAGACGGGAGACGCTGGGGAAATTTGGTAATTAAACCATCCCTACCTGAACATGCCTGTTTGTTTCTCAAGGGGATGCTGCCAAAATGCGTCCTCTGGGTTGGTGAATAGCTCTGGGTGTTGGCAGTGTGAAGGGGATGTCAGTCTTGGAGCCACCCGTTCCTCTTCTGACCGGCTTTGCAATGTAAGTTGATAAGTTGCGCTTACACAACTGTCCTGGCAGAGACAGTGAGCTGGAAGGTATGGTCTGTTGTACTCAGAAGTGCTCGTATCACTGAGCTCTGATGTAAGTAGGGCAGTTGCCAGTGCTGACTTCTCATACAACATAGGAGGGCTTTGCCTTCCAGAGGTGGTGTTTCAGTTACAGCGCTTGAAAGGAGCTTATGAGGAGGACTGACTTGTACATAGTCTGACAGAGCAATGGGGAATGGCTGGAAGCTGAATGAGGGGAGATTTATATGAGAAATTAAGAAGAAATCATTCACTCAGAGGGCAGTGAGGCCCTGGCACTGCTCTGTGAGCTGTGGGTGTCCCATCCCTGGAGGTGCCCATGTCTGTGGATGGGCCCTAGGCAGCCTGAGCTGTCAGGGGCACCCAGGCCACAACAGGGAATTGCAGTTCTGTAACCTTTAAGGTCTCTTCCATTCTGTGATTCATTTAAACTTTAGCAGATGTGGAATATGAGCTATGTCAGTTGTTAGGCAAGTGCTTCAATAAGAAGGGCTCTGCTGAAACTGGGGAGCAAAGGAATACATTTGCTGTGCTGACTGTGTGTCTTTGCCAGCTTGATTACCTGAGCCCTTGTTCCTAATAGGTTTGGAGAAGAAAGCATGGTTCGCATAATCAGATGGTTGGAGAAACAAAAGGTGCCCCTTGACAGCTCTGTGCTTGACATTGGAACTGGGAATGGTGTTTTACTGATTGAATTGGTTAGTATATTCTGCCTTCGTAACAGAATCGGTGCTCAGAACTCAGTTCTCAGTTCTCCTTGTCCGTCCTCAGTTCTGACAGCAATACTTTATTTTGATGCAAAAAATGATCAAAACCAAGTGGTTCACATAAATGCTTTGAAAAGTTGGTAGTGCCTCAAGAAGCATCCATTTCTGCCAGGGTGGAAACCCCTCTGCAGACAGGTTTTGAAGTGTTACAGTGATGTTAAAGAGTGATGCAAGGTGATTTGCAGCTGCAGTAATCCTTTTGTGGTTTTGACTGAATCCTTTGCTGTAGTATTACTGCAGAACTGGTGAAGAAGGAAGCTTTGTTGCTGTAGTAGTTCCTATTTCCAACACTCTCCATTGGTTCCATTAGTTACAACAGAAATTGAATGGAAGTCAGGGTTGGGTTTATAGTGCACTGTTGTTTTAAAAAACATGGGCTTTGATTTTTAGAAGAGTTTAAAGCCTGTGTGGGGACTGACTGCCACATTGCAGTGGCAATTTAAAAACTATTAAACTGCTGTAAGAGCAGGTGAAGGGTATTCACCAGCCAAGTGAGGGTGTCTGCTGCTAATTGAACCAGCTCTGTCAAGGAGGAGCAGGAGGCTGCTTGTGAGTACCACCTTCAGGGCACTCATCTGACTCCAGAGTCACGTTTGAGTGAACGATCCCTTCCTGTATGTATGGAGTCAGGCCATACAGGTTTAGCAGCATTTAATGTTGTTTATCCTTAAACTTTCCTTCTCTGCCCCCAAAGACTATAGGAGTGAACGGAAACTCCCTGAAGTGACTCAAGCTCTTCGTTTCCAAACAGAGGAGCTGTTGTGGAAACTGCGCTTCCACCCCCAGGCCTTCAGCACAGGCATCTCAGGAAGCTTGGTTTGCTCTTGGAGCTCTGGGGAGGAACGTGGGCAGAAGCCTAAGCAATATGCTGTTCTTCATCAAATGCAAACAACACAGCCTTTGTGTCTAGCTGAAATTAGTCCTCGATTAAGAACAGCTGGCCAGCACTGCACTCACACAGACTGAGGGGCTGCTAGGAGGAGGAAGGACTCTTAAAAAACGTAGTTCTCTTTGTTGTTGAGGTATTGGCCTTTGGAATAAGTAGACAGGTAGCAGATTGCTGAATGCTTGTTGAGGTCCTTGGTATTCATAAAACAGCCACCTCCACCATTCTGCCTGCAGCTGCCTGTAAGGCCGTAGCTCTTCATAGCTCCTCCTGCTAGGTTTGGAGCCGGCCAGATCTGCTCCTACCTGGGAATGCAAATGTGTTCCCACCCTGCTCCCAGGTGCCCAGCTCCAGCTGATGAGAGGCGTGTGAGCCCATCTGCTTTGCAGAAGGGTTGCTGGGCTGTCGTTGCCTGAGCTGGATGAACTGGGTTGTCGTTATCTAGTTCAAAGTCAGCAGAAAGTCTGTGTGCTCTTCTATGTGGTTCGTAACCTGCCTGATAATCAGTGATACAAAGACCTCACTGCATGCAAATAGTTGCGTTGAGATAGACATTAGCATGAAAAATCAGAAAAATAGAAGTTTTACCATGGCTTTCTGTATTAATAAAATATCTTACATATATTTGGTCTTAGAATTTAGGCTGTAAGCTGAATAATTGCTCAGTTTCTTGTGTGTTAAAGAGGTTTTCTTACTTTGAAGCATCTGGCATTGGCACGTTCTCATCACAGAAAATTCCTGGTTTGGAGGTTACTTTTGGTACTGATAAGGGCTTATTTCCCTCCAGAGTTTTTGACAGTTCTGCTCAGTTCCCCACTTGTTGGCATCAACCAGCTTTCAGTCAGCAGTTGTTCTGATGAGGTAGCAGGCAGATGGGGTTACTGCAGTCCATTCACTTGGCTGTTCAGCTCTGGTGCTGATAACAGAAATGAAAATGAGAAATAAAAGCAGAAATAAAGGTCCTGGGTTGTTTTGGTTTGTTTTTTGTTTTTTTTATTGTTAAAGGGGGGAGGATCAATTATAGGGCACTGGAATGGACCTGGTGAACAAAAAATGTGCTAGCACACTGATTAAGATTCTCTGCTCTGTCTAGGCAAAAAATGGCTTCACTAACCTCACTGGGATTGATTACTCAGCTTCTGCAATACAACTTTCAGAAAAAGTAAGGGAGAAAGAAGGGGTGTCTAACATTAAATTACTGGTAAGTGTTGAGAGAATCTTCATTAAGGAAACTGAAAGCAGCTGACCCCAAGGTTAAGTGACCTACTTGATATTCAGGTGCACTCACTGCAATATATTAATGATGTATTTTGAAATTCCTTTGTATTTTATACCTCATCAGAGAATTCTAACCAAATAAATCTGTGTTCACAGGAAGACTTGTGGTTATCTTGTTGTTTGTAGCAATCAAAAGCTGTCCGAAGAGCAGATAGCCATTTGACAAGCTCTGTGTTTAAGCTGATATGCTTTGAATGTTAGCTTTAAGACAGAGGACTAAATCCTTATGGGAAGGAATCCCTGCCAGTAGCTGTGCAGCAGGGAGTTTGGGAGACCTTGCTTGAGCAGGGGGGACCAGTTGACCTTCAGAGATCCCTTCCAGCCACAGCCATTCAGTCACCAGTGTTTCTCTGCTGTGCTTTTCCCCACCAGCTCTGTATCCCTATGGTGTCTCTGCTCTTGTATCTCACTTGTGATCTCTGTAACAGGCACCATCTTGTCTTCTGTGTTAGTACAGGGCCCAGCACATGGTGCCTGGAAAACCAGAGGTCAGAGTACAAATAATGGTTGGAAGGATGAACTCCTGAATGTGTTAGCTTGAGCTTTAGATGAATACTTATGTCTGTGGGCTTTATAGCAAATAGATTATTATGTTATGGGTAGACAACAAAGAAGCTGATGTGGCATTGTAACTTTGGCTCACCCTTTCTTATTGCCAAGTTGGAGGCTTTTGGTATTAAAGCACTGGTTTGCATTAAAGATTCAGGAGCTCCTGAGCAGAAGATTGTTTTCACAGTTGTAGACTTCTGGTTTAGGTAGAAGACTTCCTGGCTCCATCAGCTGAGCTACTGGGATTTCAGATCTGTATTGACAAGGGGACTTTTGATGCCGTGAGCCTTAATCCTGACAATGCAGTTGGAAAGAGGAAGCAGTACGTGAGATCTCTCTGCAGTGTATTGAAGCCAGAGGGCTTTTTCCTCATCACATCTTGCAACTGGACCAAGGAGGAGCTGCTGAATGAGTTCAGAGAAGGTGAGCAGTTGAACAGAACCATTTGCCAACCTGTGGTTGAGCAAAAGTGCAGTGGGTAGATTTTAGTGTCAGCGTTAACGTGTTTGCTCAGATCAGGATAAGACAAAGTAGTAAAAGCATCAGTAAATTCCTCAGCCTGTTCTCACTGTTTTCCTCAAGAATTACTGCTGCTACATTTGCCAGCGCCAATGTTTCAAGGGGGCTCAGGTTTTGTTATACTTCAGAGAACAAGGATCTCAGTCTAGCTACTCTGGGAAGGAGGGAATTCTATACCCCTCTGGGTGGGTTTTTTTCTATTTTGGCCTTTTGTTAGCAGATCTGGTTCACCCATACAACTGCTCTAAAAATTGCCTGTGCTTAGGGCAGCTGGCAAGACCATTTTTGTTCCCTCCTCTGTGACCTTCTGATGCTCTCTGTAGGTGTTTTTGTCTTGTTTTTATTTTTCTTTACGTGATGGTTAGCTCCTGAATCTCATGCCTGAAGCTTGAAACTCCAAGAGTGTGGATCTAAAACAACCATCCCTTCTGGGGAGCTAAAATCGCTGGCAAGTAATCGTCTTTTCTGCCATTAATTTCAGCCATCTGAGCTTTTTATTACCTATGGAATGGTTTCAGCTGTATGAAGCAGCAGTGCAGTGTAACAATGCAGTCCTGTGGAATTACAAAGTAACTGACTTGCAAGTTGTCCAGACAAATAAAGAATGGTTTGCAAAGGGTTATCCAAGAGCAGGATAGAATGACTTCCTTCTAATAAAAGCATTTTAATTTCTGTCTGGCAGGATTTGAAATTGTGGAGGAGCTGCCAACACCCAAGTTCTGCTTTGGAGGAAGAACTGGAAACAGCGTAACAGCACTGGTTTTCCAAAGAAAAAAGTGAGACCATCCATCTTGGACAAATTAGATTAGCTGAGAAAAGTCTGAACTTTAAAGTAAGCCTGACAGCAAACCTCAGACACGTGTGTAAATAAATGTTATTTGAGTACACAGTTAAATGCTATGTATGGAACTCTAAGGGACTATAAAACATTGCCCTAGAAACACAAGAGCTTTGCATAACTTGCCTGTAAATTTTGTCCCTGCTACAACCTCACTTGTTTCAGGGAGGCTGCAAGTTTGAGAGAGACAAGCATTTTAAATATTGACTGAGATAGCTGAGTGTTGGCTGCATTTGGAATGTAAAGATTATCTGGTATTTAATTTCTGGATTGGTAATCAGTGACCAACAGAAGCAAAGGTGTTCTACAAAGGAAATCTCATTTCTGTGCTGTGGTGTAACTGGAGAGAAGCTTTTGAGATGTAGTTGGTGGACCCTTCATTTTTGCAGGAGGTAATTCTCATCACCTGTGAGAATGGAGGCTTGCATCATTACTTACTTCCACTGATCCCATAATTATATAAAGGTGTGACATTATAATCTCACTAGCATGTGACATATGCCTCTTTCATGACTAATTTGCTATATAATGTCCTGAGCTCCAACAAAGACCATGTGTTTTCCAGTGATTTTCTCAGGATAAATGTTAATTGCATAATGAAGAGGAGTTTACCTGTAAATTCACTGTGAGGTAAGTGGGATTTAGGGCAAGTTTGAGGCAGAGTTCCTGAGCCTGTCAGCTTCTCAGGACTACACTGAAATTCTCCAGTAAAATGCTCAAAAAAATGAAGAGAGTGAAGCCTGCAGATGGGTGGTGCTATGGGAAGGAGGGGCAAGGAACAGGAAAAACCCACAGCTGAAATGGTTTTGATTCCTAAATTGGTAGTGGCCTCTCTTCAGTCTCAAACAAGCACACAAGCAATCACTTGGGTCTCATGATTTCTGCATCTCATCTGTAGCTGGCAGTGTTCGTAAGCCTGTGCACTTTGAACTATCACTGGAGAGTAGAAGAATGCTTGTAAAACATGTTGAGGAGGGCGTTTTTAAGGCAGTAATAATCAAAGGCCTGCTGTTTGAAATCTGCTGTTAGAAACCTGACCCTTATGAATAATGGAGTCTAGGCAGCAGCTGTAATAGTGACTTGAATAATGTTTTTTTCTTTACTGACTGGTAAGATTTGGCAATAACATGTCAAAGAATAGCCTTGATTTTGAGTGGTTCACCTTGCCAGATGATTTTTCATGAAGGTAGAATCTCAAGATGTCTGTGCTGCTCAGTGAGAAACCTCTTAAAAGAGGCAGGGAAATAAACAGTGAGTTAGGAGCAGTGAGGCTTTGCTTGTGGTTTGGAGAGCTTTATGGTAGTTCGTAAAGGTGGATGTCTGGGTGAATACACAGTTGTGTGACTTTTGGTGTCAGCTGCAAAGCTAAACCACAGGGGAGTAAATACAGCATTTGAAATGCATTCTGCTCCTCTTGTGTTTCTCTCTGGGGATTTTGCTTGTGATTTCTCAGTCAAATGTGAGATTTGTAGATAGTGAAACTAATACCATCCCTGGATCTCAGCAAGCTTTTTCTGTAGTCCCGAGTTCAGGTTGGATGGTGCTGCAGGGCCAGCATACCTTTATGGAGCTGTGAATAGCTTTGTGTCAAAGGTAGGCAGGACAGAGAGGGATTATGTTCCTTTGTTGACCTACAGCATGCCAAAGGCTGACATTCCCTGAGTGCTGGTGGGCTTTGCACCTGGCTTCACGAGCCAGATTCCAAGCTCAATGAGATGCCTGGAAAGACTGGAAAGGAAAGGGCGGCGTCGACCACAGCCCTCCAGAGGGATCCACTGCTTGGAAATGAAGTCTCTCCCATTCTCCTTAAGCAATGAAACCTCAGGACTAGGACAGATCTCATCTTCTAAGCCAGGTGTTTTCAGTATGTGCAGCTCTGGTGATGCATGAACTGCTAGGAGCTGGTTGTTGTGGCTGGGCTGCGCAGGTCCTGCTGGCCATTGCTGACCTTTCCTTCCAGGAAGATGGCTTTTAGGATAGAAGCCCACAACCAGCTGCTTTTTTGTACAGCTCTGACCCCCAGTATCTGGCTCCTGGTATCTGCCATTGCCAAGCAAATCACAGAATCATGATAAACCTTAAAGCCATTTTTAATAATAGAGAAGAATCACAGAATGACCTGGATTGAAAAGGAGCACAATGCTCATCCAGCTCCAACCCCCTGCTGTGTGCAGGTCACCAACCAGCAGCCCAGGCTGCCCAGAGCCACATCCAGCCTGGCCTTGAATGCCTGCAGGGATGGGGCATCCACAGCCTCCTTGGGCAACCTGTTCCAGTGCCTCACCATCCTCTGAGTGAAAATGGCCTTCTGTGGTTCATTTTGGAAGTATTTACTGGGAGATCCATTGTGTTGGTTGTGGCTCTTGTGCTGCTGAGTGGGCTGGGAGCATTTTACCTGTGGGAGAGCAGACCTTGGATTTTTATGGGTTGTGTAAAGGAAGTGAACTGTCAGGATGAAATGTCTGAAAGAGGAGACCAAGTGAAATTAAGGAAATAAGTATTGATTTAAGAAGGCCTATCTTTACAGGTGGAATTGAGTTTAAGCATAAGGTAAATAGGCTCTCAAGACAAAAAACCTTTGCATTTTCAGCATCACAGCACTTTCTTGAAGTAAAAACTACTCCTTTAATCATGTTGCCATAAATTAAAAAGTGGGAAGTGCCAGACGTGAGAACTGTAACGCAAGTGAATGAACACAGAAGATTCAGAAGAAGGAATAATGTTGCCTTGCTCCTTGACTTCCTTCTTGGTGACCAAGCTGTTATTTGTATGCAAGTATTTTCGTTTAGTGGTCATTGCTCCCTAAGGAGCAGAGCCAACGGCAGTGCAGTCTGTCGAGTGTTTTTTAAAGTTAATTTTTGGAAGGCTAAGAAGATACAGCATTAATATTCTGGTATTAAACGTAAATGTGATTTTGTGGTCTAAAAGGAAGAATTTATGGGAGCTGTAATTTTTTTTTTGAAGGTATGCTGGATTGCATGCGGAACACTAACAGAATTATGGCAGCTGCTGTACCAGAGAGGGCAATAATGATGAAATGACAGTCTATCTGTTCCATCCAGAGACTATTCAAGTCTTTATAGAGAGCACTGGGTAGAAATAACTGCAGCATACCGGGGTCATACCTACATACAGACACAGGCTCTCCCCCTCCATTTCAAACTCAGTGTTGTAGCCCAATTTCTGACTACCAGGATCATCCTGCTGTCCCACTTGTGCTGTGGGATTTGGGGTGTTGGACACCTGTGGGTCTCGGGGGAGCAAACACAGTGTGCAGACTGTGCTGTGTTTCAGAGGTTGACCTTAGGACACCAGTGTGGCTCAAAGGCCTGAGTGGGGAAAGGAGGCAGCGACTCCTCTCACTTGCAGCAGCCTGGCCTTGCTGTCCAGGTGCGTGGGGTCTGTGATACCCATGAGGCTGAGAAGTGGGGCTGATGTTCATCCTGGCAGCATCTCTTTTCATAAGGATGAGTCCAGCTTTTCTGCTGCATTAAGCACAATGTGCTTTTCTTCGTTGCTGACACTGGCTGCTGTGTATTCCCATGTTCCAGGAATGCACTGGCAGCATTGTAGCCATTGTAAGGAAAATCCATGTACATGCACTCTGCTATGTCCCTGCTGCTGGGTTCCAGGGTGCCTGGTAAAAGCTGCCAACATTTGTGTTATTTCATACCAGAGCAAAACTGTGATCGTGGTATTTAGCAACATACAGCAAAATTCTCAGTGCTTTGGCACTCAGCTGGCTTTCTGAATCTTGGCACACTGAAAGGTAAAGAACGTGCCTCAGGAACTGTTTTATTTGCATGGACCCGTTAAGCATTTTAACATATGGATCATCTCCTGTAAAATACACGAGGAAAATGCACAAGATAAACAGACCAGAGCTTTGCACTGCCACAGGGAGACCCACCTGCCTTTGTGCTTCCGTGGTGCGTTGCCTCTGCCTGGGCTGTGTGATGCTTCCCTTCCTTCAGAGGGGTTTGGCTCTGCTCTGCCCCATGGCTGGAAGGTCCTTGGGTGCACCCTAAACCTGCTGGGCAGGGGAGCAGCCCTTGGATAGCTGGGGCTTTCAGTGGAAAAGGGATGAACCGTTACAGCCTGGAGATGGAGGAGGGAAAGGAACACTGGTGTGTTTTATTTGATACAGGGGGAAAGCCAAGCCGTGGCTTAATTTCCATTTGTTAGGTAACAGTATAGCTTGAAATGAGCGGATTTCTAGGTTACTGGAAAGTAAACAGACCGCTTGATGTAGCCATATGAATTCCAGATAATGGCAAGTGCATATGCTTGTGCTGGAAAGCAGGGCTAACAAACAGTATGAGAACACAAACAAGCCTCAGTGCAGCCGCTTGAACGGCCAAGTGCTCACAGACAGGCAGTGTCACAGAGCGAGCAGAGATGGGGACAATCTACACTTGCTTTTTGTGGCTGGTGTAGGGTACCAGCTCACCTTGTTCAGGTACACCGAGCTAGAATGTGTTACAGAGAGATGGAAAATAGATTCCTGCATTGAGGACACTGTGCACACTGCTGACAGCCCTCTGGGAGCACAGAGGACGAGAGGTGAGCGATGCCGTGCCTGGACTGAGCTGTGGATGCAGACAGAAAGCAGCCTTCTGCTCGGCTCTTGGAGCCCAGCCCTGTGCTGCAAGGGCTGCCACGGGGATGGATTCAATTATGCTGCAAGCTTGATTGCTAAATGTTCAGCTGGGAAACCATACAAACTATTCAGACTTGATTCCCAAAGTTCTGCAAAAGGAGCTTGCAAGTGTTTAATTGTCATTGTTACTGAATATATACGATCATTAAAGCACGTCGTTTAAGTGGGATGGAGGAGCTTGTAGTAGAATGGCTGTGATTGGAAGGGACCTCAAAGACCGTTCGGTTCCAACTCTGATAACGTTACCAGCCGGTAAATCAACCGCTGGATCGGGCTGCCCAGGGCACCTCCAGGGCCGCGGCTCTCTGGGCTGCAGGAAGGGAGGCGGCAGGCGGCGGTGTGAGCGGGCTCTTCCCCCGGGTGCCGGCAGGAGGCGCTCTCGGCCGCCCGATGGAGCCGCCGGCTCCGTGCACGCGTCCCGAGCGCCCCGCGCAGTGCCCGTGCCCGCGGGGTTCGGGGTGGCGGCGGGGCGGCGCTCCTTTCCGGGCGATCCGCGGGCGACTGCGGGGAAGCGGAGCCCGGGCGCGGGGGTCGGCGGTGCCGTCCCGGGGGCGGCTGCGGGGCAGCGCCGGGGGGCGGCGGGCGCGGAGCTCCGCAGGTGCGGGCCGGGCCCTGCCTCCGCGCCGGCCCCGCTCAGGAAGTGACAAGCGCATTTCCTCCCTCCTCCTCCTCCTCCTCTTCTCCTCCTCCTCCGCCCTCCCCGCCCGCAGCACGGCGGCGGCGGCGGCAGGAGGGAGGGAGGAAGCGCGGCTCGGAGCGGTGCCCACAGCTGGCCCCGGCCGGGCCGCGCCGCCGCTCCGCCACCACGGTAAGAGCCGGGACCGCGCCGGGCGGGGCTGAGCCGCGCTGTCAGCCCGGGGGGGAGCCGCGACGTCGTCCCGGGGGCGGCGGACAAAGGGCGGCGGTGGCGGCGGGGAGCGGCCCCGGGGCGGGGGGTGTGCGGGAGCTCAGCCCGTGGGGAGGGGGGGGGGCGGCTCGTTGTCGCAAGTTTCGCGTCCCCCGAGCCAGCAGCGTTCGCCACCGCCGCGGCTCCCGGACACGTGCTGCGCTCCGTGCGGCCCGGGGCGATGCTCGGCGCGGTGTCAGCGCGGGGGGTGCCGCCCCCCGGTCCCGCCGCCGGGCTGAATGCGGGGTGCCGGGCCTCGGGGTGGGAGCCGTGCGTGCACCGCCGGCGCTTGGCAGCGCGGCCACCCCCGAGGAAATGCGCCGAGTCCAAACTGAGCGTAATTGGTTATGAAACAGGCGGACCGAGCTGCGGTTCGTAACCGCTAGCAGATGAGCCCGCTTTCCTTATCCGTCCCCGAAGCGCCTTCGGACAGGTTGAAACTACCTGCGGGCTGCCCGGGTAACCTCGAGCCGGGAGCGTCCCAACATCCCGACCCCCGGCACCGCCGGCAGCGACGCGCTGAGCCCCGGCACCGCTCCGCCGCACCGAACCCCGTCTGAGTCGGGCTGGGGAAGTCGCGTCCAGGCTGCCTTCCCTCCGCAGTGGATGCAGAGCGGGGAGGGTCGGGTCGGAGCAACGAGCTGCAGCGGGGGCTCAGCCTGCCCCGTCCGAAGCGTTGCTTTGCACGTAAACCTGGGGCGAATCCATGAAGTGCATCTGTGGGTGAGATCGGGGCTGTACGCGGCACTCGTGCAGACTGTGGCACGGATCCAGCCCTGACTGAGGCTGATTTTCAAGTGTGGATACGTGGGCAAGTAACTGTGTGTGTGTAAATGTGCAGATAGGTAATCGTAGTGATGGGATTCATGTTCCTCCTCGTTTTTCTTTCTAGTAGTATTGGGTTTGGCTTTTTTTTTTTTCTTGCTCGTTGATGTGATTTCTTCTTTCCTTGCAAAATCTCAGCTGAAGGAGGGGACGTCCCAGGCTGAGAAGTGCGGGGTTGGTGTGTTCCTTCTCCCCACCCCCCCCCAAATTGCAGGGCTGGCAGGAGCTGGAGGCGCTCCTAATGAGTGCTAATTGGCAGCAGAGCAGGGATGCTTGAAGCCTTGGGAAAGCCCGGCCCACCAGAGGAGGGGATTTTCCACCGCGATGGTCTAGGAGCTCCTTTGGTGGGGTCTGACAGCCCATGGAACCCTCCTCAGCACCCAGCCGTGCAGGCAGGAGGGAATCCCTGCCCAATCTCCCCACATTCAGGTGAATTTCAGCTTAGGCAGTAAGTGGTGATTGCAAACTGTGCTTATTAGCAGGGGTACGAAGTGACCTGTGCATTACAAGTACTGCAGGTGGAGAGATGCTATCAGGTGTTGCAAGGTGACACCTAATTCCCTCCTCTGGTGCCATTTTTCACCCTTTTCTCCATCCCCCGATGCTCTCCGTGTTCCCAAACCCATGGTGTTCTGCTGGTGGTGATGGGGTGCAGCCCTGTGCCTGCACTGCCTTATTGGGGTTTGTGCTGCTTGACCCCAGAGCTCTGGCTCTGTGCTCTGTCTGTGTGCTGTGTTTATGAGAAGGGACTTTGCTTTTCCAAGGTCACTCTCCAAGCCTGCAGTCTGCTGGTGCCTGGCCGTTTGCTCAGCCAGCAGTGCAGAACGTGGCTCTGGGGCAGTGACCAGAGGTCCCCAGGCTGTTTTGTTTCTCCACATCTGATGGGTTGGCTGCCTTTGGAGAGACCCGCTTCCCCAGCCAAGGCTTGTTCTGCTGGTGCAGGCTCTGATAACACAGGCTGGGAACACATAAACCTTCCCTTTTCAACCTGTATTGAAAACTGAAGAGTGGTGGCATGTATTAATTGAATTGGAATTGCTCTTTGCTTTGGGGAGCTGATCCATGACTTGTGGAGCTTCTAATATTTGATAGGCTGGATTCACGTGGTGCCATATAGAATCATTAAGGTTGGAAAAGCCTTCAGAGATCCCCAAGCCCAACCCATGCCACCATGCCCACTGCCCACATCACTCAGTGCCACGTGCCCACAGTTCTGGAGCACCTCCACGAATGGATATGCAAAATGAGTAAGATTTGGTGTGTTGGGAGTTTTCATTGAAACTTGGTGAAGGAAGGCACTGAATGGCACTGAACTTCTATGAGAGCCCCCAGACCTGTGCAGGTCCCTGGGCAACAAGGTGTGCTGGTACCTGTGCCTGTTTGATTCCGTAACTGAATGTTAGTTTAAGAAATGGATGAGTGAGTGCAAAAAATGTGTTCTGGGAGAGGGTTTGGGTTGAGGTTTCCACACCTCCAACTCTGTGAAATACTAAAAGGAATAACCTCATGGGAGACTTGATCGTGGGTTTTGCTTTTGGAGGATTAAATGTAGCAGCATCAGTGCCATTGCTCCTCTGTAGCCTGTGAGGCATTCCCTGGGCTGCATCGTTCCCTGGGCTGCATCATTCCCTGGGCTGCATCATTCCCTGGGCTGCATCATTCCCTGGGCTCATGGGATTTTGTGTTTAGCAGCCAAAGCTCAGGGCTTGGCCATGCAGTAGGAGTGGGACCAGAGGGTTTGGCTCTGTGGCTGTTGCTCCTGCATCCCTCCAGCTTCCAGGGTGTGTAGCATGTGCAAACTGACAAACTGTGCTCCGGCAGCTGGAAAACCTGCTGTGAGCCAGCTCCAGAATGGAGGCAAAAGTCCTAAGTGGGAAGGCGACGTTAGAGGTGGATGTGATGGGGTTGGTGTTTGTCTGCTAACTTTCGTGTCGCTGCAAACAGCCTGGTGGTGTGCTGGGGAATAGTTGTACACGCCATGAGATCACTTCAGGAATGTGTTCCTGATCTTATTATGGCGTGCTTTTCATGTCCCAGCCATTACAAATGAATATCATGTAATATTTTTGAAAGGACGAGATTTAATTCTATTAAATAGATGCTGAAAGCTATTATCATATATGGAATATCCATTACAATTATGAAGATACAGAAAGCATTACAAGTATCCACATTTGGCTTTTTTAGCTTCTCTGCTAGTTCAGAGAAAAGATTATCTCTTTATTGGCCCATCAGTTGTGTTATGATTGAAGTTCAGTGCTGCTGCTGGTGCTTCTCAGGGTGAAAGCATCGTGGTTAATGAAGATTTGCAGCTCCCAATGGCTTCATTTGGGCTCCGAGGCACCCAAGCTTCCACTTCCACGTGGGTTGTGCTGTTGGTAGAAAGCTGCCTTTCTCCTGCAGGTCTTACATGAATCGTTGGCTTTGGGAAGGGGTTGGGAAGGGCCGCTTTGTTCCTCCCCACTGTTCCTCCCCACTGTTGGTATGAGTCAAACACTGCAAGCATTGCTGGAAGTCCCCGGCTCTTTGTGGGGCTGCTGACGCCGTGGGAGCTGTGGTGTGGCCCCATGGAGGCTGGAGGTGTAAATTATTTGGAGCCAGTGTTTAAGAAAGCTCTATATTTAGTGCCTGCTGCTTAACATCAGCCTGGCTTACTGCTGGCAACAGGCGCAGCCATCGCTCTGCTCTCTCCTGCATACAGCACTAAAATATCCATTGATTGTCCCTTTTCTGCATCATTACTGATGTCCCTCCTGCTGTGAGGGAGACATTTTATTATTCCCATTGTCTAAACCTCCTGTCTCTTGTTTTCTACCTCTCTGCTAACCACTGATTTGTTTCTTTGTGCGCTTCTGCTCCCGTTTCTGTTTCTCCAACTGCCGATGCCAGAAGGAGCATCTTCCCAAAAATGGAGAGCAGAGGAAGGGGTGAGGAAGAGGGGTTACCACGGAAAGTTTGAAAGTGTGAAAAAGCATCACCCAAAAGACAGAACTTAATGTTGAATTGCAGTCCCATGCGTTTGAAGGTGGTGTTGTGATGCTGGGGACTGTGCCACGGTTTCCATCTTCCATGTTAGTCCCTTTGCTCAGGAGTGTAGCAGTGTACATTTCTCCATGAGATGCTCCATTTGTACCAGGCTACCATTGCCTGGCCCAGTGCCTTCCCACCAGCCAGGGAGCCAATATGGGATGCTGTCGGTCCCCAGCATGGCATCTGGGGAGGGGGCTGTGCGGTCCCTGCAGCCTCCGGTCCTTGGGGCACAGGGGCATTGCCTTTACCTCTGATTTATGCCTGCAGGATGGGAGGAAAGGGGATGTGTGGAGAGTGTCCAGCTGCTGGAGACTCTGGGAGGAAAAATGAATGTATGTTTTTTCCCTTTGCTGCACATTCACGCTGTCGTCAATGACTTGGCACCTGGTGGGAAGGGAGTTGCACCCGTCCCGTTGGCTGGCGTCGGTGCCAGCTCAAACACCGCCAGTCGTGGCTTTCGTTTCCATTTGCTGCTGGGCCATTTTTCCTATTTGCTCAGAGACAGACAGAGGGATTGGGGTTTCAGTAGTGCCAGCAGTAGTGGGGAGCATCCCACCCCACGCCCCCAGGCTCACAGCATCCCGCCCCATCCAGCAGGACTGTGCAGAGCCGGAGCTGCGCCAGGTTTGGGCTATACGTGTTACTGACACCTTACGGGAACTGAACGTGTGTTGGAGTAACAGATGGGTATTATTCCAGCTTTGTGAATGTCTCCCTGAGACATTAAAAACACCAGCTCTCATGAATGGTTCCCTGGAAGTGCTGTTGGGAGCATTCAGGTGCTGCTTGGCTTTGATGAAACGAGTAAATGCCACGAGCGGCTGTTTGCTTTGCCTCCTTCCTCCTACAGAAAGGCTCCCTTTGAGGGATGGCAAAGCATCCAGCCCCCATTCCCTATCAAAAAATGTCACTGTCCTGCCTTTACATTGGTGCTTCTGGGGCTCTGTGATGAGCACTCAACGTCCCACATTGGATGGGATGTCCCACATCCCACTGATGCTTTGTGCCCATGGGGATGGCTGACCCCAGGGGAGCCCAGTCCTGCCCACAGAGTTTGTGGGTGCCCCATCCCTTTTGAGGCCAGCTTGGATTGGACCCTGGGCAACATGATCTAATACCTGATTTAGTGGTTGGCAGCTGTGCCCACAGTGAGGGGTTGAAGCTGGATGATCTTTGAGGTCCCTTCCAACCCAAGCCATCCTATGATTCTCCCTTCTGGACACAGCATTCAGAGGCTGCCATGGGATGTGCTCCCCAGATCAGCTCCTTGGCAGCCCGCGCACGTAGGAGCCGTCTTCTGCTAACAGATTGTGGTGTATTTAATGAACCTGAGGAAAAACAAGGAATCCGAAGGCTGCGGGGCGATGCAAGTTTGCTGTTCAGTCTGCCAAATTCATGCTAATTCAGACAACTCACAGATGTTTGGCTCCCCGTGTGTTAAGGAGATTTATGTAAGATGCAGGGCTGGGAAATTCATTCCCAGCGTGCCGGAGAGCCGAGCTGGCAGCGGCTGCACACGGGCAAAGGTTTCCTGTCCATTTCCTTTGTCCACTCCTTGCCACCAACTTTTCACTGCAACATGTCCATTGGTTGCTGGGAGGATGGGTAAAGGTTCGTCTTCCAGAGCCAGCGAGCTCTGTGAAGGCTTTTTCCCAGCTGAGGAATGATTCCCCTGAGATAGGGATGTTGATCCAGTGGGGACCACAGTGAGGTGTGACCACAGCAGTGGCATTGCTGGCCCTGTGGTTCTTTCTGCTTTGTGGGTTGGCCACAGGTGATGCACACTGTAGGCATAGACTGCCAGCTGAAAGCATTCCAAACCCCGAGAATATTGTCTGCCTAATTGAATTTTTTGGAATATCCTGAGCGATTGTTTTTCTGCTGGAGGCTCTGCAGTCTTACAGCTTTTACTGGTAAGAACGGAGCGGGAGGAGAAGATCTCACAAAGTCTGGTTGTTCTCCCTCCATCATTGCGTGTACATCCAGTATCCCTGCTTTAAATCCAGACACTTCCGTCACCCTGGTTATTCAGGGACCACCAGCCTCAATCAGATCTCCAGCTCAGCCTTGGAAAAGGGAGAAATCTGCCTTGCTAACGGTACCCAAGTCTGACAATGATGCTGGAGTTCCAAGTTTCCCTGCAAGATGCCCAAGCTGTCGCTGGCACTTGGCCATACTGTGGTTCCCTGGTTGCCACCAACGCATTGCTGTTGATGTTGATGTTGAAACCTGGGGGCTCTGGAGCAAGCAAGGCAGGGCTGGCTGAGAGCATTGGAGGTTTGTCACCTTGGAGCTTTGTCATCTGGCTGTAAGTAGGTGGACGTCGTGCTGCAGAGGTAGGTACTGAGATGGGTTTAAAATGGCCTGAAATCATTGAAAGTGGGTCTGTAAAAATGGCATGGTGAGGCCCTGCTTACCATCTCCGACCCAGAGGTTTCAGGTCGGATATGGGAAAATGGTGTGAGAAAGAAACATGAAGTGGTTTATTTGTTTCTATTTACTAAAGCAGAGTTCTCCAAGCAGTAATTAAAAGTAAACCTAGGCTCTGCTGCCTTGTTCAGCACCCCTGGTTGTTAAGGTTAACAGCTGAGGCAATTCTCAGTTCAGCAATTCCTCGACTTTTGGGAGCGTGGCCAACACTCACAGTATCTCACAGACCATTGCAAATTCTTGTCATAAATCTCACAATTGGAAAAATACAGACATCGAAAGGTGAGCTGGTTCTTCAGACTGGCAGGCTGGGCTGTGGTGCTGCTTCAGCTGCTCTTCTCCAGAGACCATCGTTGCTCCAGCTCCCTGGGCACGCCTGGAAATATGCTCAGAATGAGAAGCAGACCCCTGATAAGCAATTAGGCAATGGTAGGAAGTTTTTCCTCAAAGAGAACGTGCCATTTTTACAGTCCTTTTTTCTGATGAAAATCATCTTAGAATACAGTCAAAGAACCGTAGGATGGCTTGGGTTGGAAGGGCCCTCAGATATCATCCCATTTCAGCCCTCTGCCTTGGGCAGGGTTGCCAGCCCCTAAATCAGACACAGCTCAGGCTGCTCAGAGTCCCATCCAGCCTGGCCTGGGGCACCTCCAGAGTTGGAGCATCCTTTAAGAGGGTATGTCTGAATGGCCCGTGGCACCATGCAGAATTATTGGTGGTATTTCCTGCCAAGGTGGCTGGGACCTGGAGATGGCTCCTCTTGCCATTACTTGCTGTCATGCATGAGATCCACGCAGCAGACTGGTCAGTGCGCAGTCACTGTGTGCATCCAGTTACCCCTCTGTGCCAGCAGTCCCCTGTTTTGCACTTCATGTTTGCTCTTTGCAATGACTAATTTTGCTCTCTTCTCTTCCTTTTCAGTTGCCAGGGAGGAAAAGGCAAAGTCACAGCCAGCGCTGCTTTCTTCAAGCTGAGATGTTGAGACAAAGCACCTCTGACCCTGTCCTGTCCTTTCTCTCCATCCCTTTCCGCCGTTTGTTTGTGAGGGAGTCCTTCCCCTGCCACTCCTATTCCGTAAGAGCAAGGGGGCAATAAAACCAATGTTTCTTTACTGAATTAGATGGTGTGCCATTTTCCTTGATCGCTGATTTTTTGGGGTGAGCAATTGCATTTTGGGCTCTCCCTGACGGATGCGTGGCTTTGGGCTGGAGACACCAGGACTTGGTGTCACCTTATGGCAGGATCCTTCGTGGAGCACTTGGAGGCAAGGGTTGGATGGAAGGAGGCTTTTTTAATATGCTGAGCAATGTGTTTATGGTTTTGGTCAGCACCTTGGTACGTGTGGAGCTCCTGGTTGGGAGGGTTCACCATGGGCCATGCTGATGGACCAAGCTGTGCATGGCCATGGCCAGGAGTTGGACTGGGTGGTCATTATGGGTCACCTCCAGCTTGGGATATCCTACAGTCCTCAGATTTACCATGGTGGCTCACAGTCAGGCTTTGTGTTCCTAATGTGGCTCCTCAAGGTGGGCACTGCCATAGTGAGCCTCCTGGTTGTGACTTTTCTTTCTTTTTGAGGGGTTGCATTGCAGACAGGGGTATTTATTCACGATTTTTGGAAGTTTTAATCTTGTAAATAAAGTCAGTTTTGACTAATGGTATGGAGCAGCGAGCACCGTGCAGCCTGGCTGCGAGAGTCCAGTGAGGAAGTGAGCCCTTGCCTGGCTTTGTACAAATATTAACCTGTAGGGACCTCTTCCAAACTTGTAACACAATAAATCAACAGGTTGAAAACGCAACTCTTGGTATTATTTATAGTGTGGTGAGGCAGATGTGGAGCCCTGACATACCTGAATGGTGTTCTGCGGACAGGCAGCTCCAGCACACACAGACTGGTTGTTCCTTGGATACCATCCGACGACAGGGCAGCTTTTTTGTATGCTGTTTAGTGCTTTCATTTTGCTTTTTAAAAACATTGGTTGTCCCATCGAAACTTTTGGGAAGATTTTTGGTTGTCCCCCCCCCTTTAAGTCATTTGTAGATGTTGGGTGAGCTGTGTTGTGCTGGGCCCAAGTTTTGCTGGGGCTGTGCATGAAGAAATCAGGATCTGGATACCAGGAGGAGAGTGTGCATGGGGATCCTTAGTTTCCCCTTGAACTTGTAATAGGACAAGGGGAAATGGTTTCAAACTAAGGGAGGGGAGGTTCAGATTAGCTATAAGGAAGAAGGATTTTATGATAAGGGTAGTGAAGCTCTGCTCAGGCTGCCCAGAGAGGTGGTGGTGCCCATCCCTGCAGGCACACAAGGTCAAAGGAGAGACTCTGAGCACCTGATGGAGCTGTGGGTGTCCCTGTGCACTGTAGGGGATGGGACCAGATGGCCTTTAAATGTCCTTTCCAACTCAAATGGTTCTATGGTTGTGGCCATAGCACTGGTGTTGGCATTGCTTTTTCAGTCCGTGGATAACAGTTCAATCCTCTGACTGTAGTGTGTTATAATTTGGGCTGAGAAGAGTCTTGCCCTCTTCTTTCTGGCACTGAGGGTGTGGTAATGATAGGAGGCTTTGAGGGTGAGAAACAGAGATTCATGGTTAGAACTCTACAAACAGAAAGGAAGCAAATTACTGTTGCGACTGTAGTCACAATAGTAGAATAGTAATACAGTGAAATGGTAAAAATGTAGGGGTTTCATTCCTTCCAGCTGGTAGCAAATGTAAGGCCCAAATAGTAATAGCAGCTCTCCGTTCACAGAGCAAGTGGGGACATGGCTGGGGGGTTTTGGGTGTGCAATGCAGTGCCCAGAGAAAAGTATAAGTGGGCAATGGAGGAATGATGTGTGCAACAAGAATTGTTTGATGGTAATTTGATGGTAGCAATAGCAATTTAACCTTACTTTGCAGAATAAGCCATAGGAAATTCTCAGTCTGCTTTAACATCTCTTCTGTGGCTGAGCTGCTAGTTGAAATCAGTGACGCCTGTAGAAGCACATATGTGTGCTCGTTGGGCAGAGGTCTTTAGGTGGGGTGGTTGGAGATGCTCTTGCTGCAGTCCTGGCTGCAGAAGGAGATTCCAAGGCAACCTGTAAACCCAAGGGGTTCTTGAAAGATTGAGTTTTCAGCCTTTTGGGGAGTTAAAAAGCTCCTGGATTATCTCACAGCATGGCTGTGGCCCAAGTCTAAACTTAACCTTGACTGAAGGATGAAGATAGTTCCTTTATCTGATTGCAAATGAGGAAATACATTCCTTAAAATAATTAATGGTCCCTGAAGAGCATCTTTTTATTAGCATCTGTATGCGTGGAAAGCTCCGGTCCATAAATACCCAGCAGTTTCCTGCTCATGGCATGGCTTTCATGGGAAGGCCAGTGTGAATGGGTGCTGCCCTACAGCACCAGCGGGGCGTCGTGGGGCAGGGCATTGCAGTGGGAAGTTTTGGCCGTGGCACAGTGATGTGGTCGTCCCCAGGGGGATGCAGTGGTCAGGGCACTGTCACCCAAATGGGGCAGAGAGCTGCTGCCCGGGCTCAACTCCGTGCCTGGCTGCGCGTAGTGCTCTGCTGCAGCAGTATTAATCATTACCTTAGGGAAAGATAATTATTGGTGGAGAAATTGTAGCCTGTTAATGAGAAAACGTGCTTAACTGCTTCCCGACTGCTGGGACTGCTTGTTTGATCTGGATTTCCACTGGTGAGTGGCTGCTCACCAGCAGTGGCCTCGGTGCCCTCGGAAGCACCACAGATGTGGTGTGGGTGAGCATCCCTGCCCCATGTCCCAAGCAGGGAGCAGTGATGGAGGTGGCTAGAAATGGTGCAGAGTTGGTACGGTGTGACCCAGAGGGCTCGTGGCAGGGGGAGAGGGCTCGCTGCTCCCTGCTCTGGGCCCCACGTAGGGCTCATGTAGCAGATGGTGTTTCCTTGAGCAATATCAGCTCTGTTTTGGCAGATGTAGGCTTGGATGTCCTCAAGGGCAGCCCTGCCCCGTCCGTGGCTCAGCCACGGTCGCTGATAGAGCTGAAATTGCAGGAAGAACATTCCTGATGTCTATTCCTGGTGGCATTCCCCAGTGAAGCCAAGGAAGAGGAGCATGCAGGACTTGGGGTGCTGCGTGGTGCCACGTGCGTGTCACTGGGGCACTACAAAGGCTTTGGAGATCCCACTGTGTATCACTGGAGGTTTTGGCAGTGCTTGTGCCATGGGGTGATCGTTGGGCTGCCCGGGGGTTTGTGGTGAAGCTGTAGTAAATTGTACATCATAAGGCATCCAATGGCCCAGAAGAAGCTGGAGTCTGTACCACGTGCCTTTTGGAGCAGTAAATCTTTGAAAAATGTATTGATTCCCGATCCTGGCTTTGCACTCTGGCTGAACTTTGTCCTCACAAGACACAGTAGGTGATTTCTCTACCAGCCAGCTGGCCTCTAAATGAGCTACTCATAACTCCATCCCGACCTCTAATCCAAATAAACATGAAAAAGATTATTTGCAAGCTGGAAAGAGAATCCTTATCAGTTTGTAATGAGGTTTAATACTTAGCAGCGTGTTCTCAAATATTGTCCTTAAGTACTGCAATTTGGTTTTGACTGCGTGTTACAAGATAAGTGTTTCATGCTCTTCGGATCATGCAAATGATGTTTTTGTTTGTTTGGTTAACAGCAAGGCAACAAAATAGTGAAACAGGATTAGAGGGGCGGTTTGGGAAAAACACTGATTTCTATAATCAGATTTGAATTGCAATCTGTCTGCTTTTGCGTGGGGGTGGGTGCATGGGAGGGAATGCCAGGAGGTGAAGTAGGGTTGGGTGAGTGCTTGCAGCCTCTTCGTGCAGCACTAACGCAGCATTTACTGCCTCAAACCCCCAAGGAAATAAGTAGGGATCAAGAGGCATGGAGGGAGGCTTTGGGTTAGTGGGCAGGGAGCCCTCTCCTTGCTTGCAGGAAGTTCTTTGCCTCGTTTCTTGTCCAAAGGGCTCCTTGTGGTTCTTCCAGGAACCAGGGAGTTACCAGGATGGCATGGGGCAGGAATCAGGGAGTTATTGGACTGACATGGGGCATCCAGAGGGTTTCATAGGGGAAATAATGCTGAAATGGCTTTGTCTGCAGGAAATCTGTTCCTGGTTGATCTGCAGGCAAGGGGGTTGCCTCTGGGGCCGTGCTTCCAAGCCTCAGGATCTCCATAAGGAGATGGGCTGATGGGTTCCCTTTTTCACAAAGCAGAATTAGGAGGGCTGTGCGTTTATCTGCCTGCAACACTCCTGTTCCTCCAGCACGCCTCGTGCGCACTGTGTGCTCCCACCAGCTCCTGCAAGTGCTGCTGCACGAAATGCCTCTGAGCTAATCGGTGCCCAGGAACGCCAGCAATGCTTAAGAGCCTAAAATAAATACTCCTTGCCTAGCTCCTAGGGCAACCCTTTCCCCGTGCTGCCCGTTGCACTCCAGCCAGGGATTGCTCCTCAAACCTCACCTGACTCTTCATCCTCTTCCTTGTGCCCACAGGGAGCCGCCGGCCGCAGCCCCCGCTGCTCTCAGCCCTTCTGGGGGAAAATGCACTGAGATGGGAGCTTGGCCAGAGCATGGCTGACAGCGACCTTTGCCTGGACTCCGATGGACTCCAACGCAGGACTGCATTACCATGGTGATGATCTTAACCAAAACTCGGGAAAACAAAGGTGCTGACTCTGTAACATGCAGGACTGAGCTGGTAAGCATCGCGGCGGTGCTCTTCACAACTCTGCTGCTGTTGCCATCGCTTTGCTGTGGCTTTAGGATGCTTTTTCACACTGCAGGGTTGGATCTTGAGGTGGTTTTCTTGCTAGTGCTGCACTGGTTTCTGCTGGGCTTGTTAATATCCAAAATGCGGGCAATGAGTAAATGATTGGAGTGCTGTGGCTGTTGCATATGTGCATTTCGGTGAGCACACAATAGAATAAACTGTGAATAACACGGGTTAGAAGTTGCTTTGCCCAGAGTGAACAGATGCTCATGATTATTAGGAGGATGAGCAAGTGGGGAGCAGGATTAAGTGGGAGATGGAGAGGACTGTTACCTAACAGTCCTGCTGGCAGCACAGAGGGATGCAAACCCAAACGCACCCAATGAGCAGGTAATGGAAAAATTAGGGCAACAAACAGGAAATGATGCTGAAAGAGGCAGAATTATGGTGGGGTAGAGGGTGACACAGAGCTGTCTGGTAACACCCAGGGGGGATGTTGGGGTTTTCACCCCTGTTCTGCAGGATGAATGGTCACAGTCTGGAAAGGAAGGAGGCAGAAAACTGTGCGATGCAGGGCGACACAGATAAGGATGCTCAGGAAGCATCTGGCAGGATCAGCCATACATGGGCATTTGGAGCATAAAAGTGATGGTAATGCCCGAGTTCTCTGAGGATGGAGCACTCTGTGAGCTGGTTTCCTGGGCTGGTAGTGCAGGCTGCTGAGCACCCCAGGGTGTGGGTGGAGGGGTTCAGCTGCAGGAAGGAGAAGAGCAGAAGCTCTCATGTTGTGCGGGATGGGCTGCATAGCCACACCACCAAACTTTGCCCTCCCTTGTTTGCTGAGTGCCTGCCATGGTGCTCGTGCTGTGTCAACAGGGAGTAACTGTTCTGGTTATACAGTTTGCATTGCCAGGTTGTCCGGGCAGTTAAATTGAGGCAGATGTTCAGAAGAAGTCTGATCCAGCAAAGAGAGCAGCAGTTTTTATGTTGGCAGAGAGGGCAGAGAGTAAAACTCAAAGGCAATAAACGTCTGAGCAGCAGGCACCATCACCTGCTGGAGGGTGGTGGGCTTGCTGGCTGGTTTGTATCCCAACATGGTTAGGCTGAGCATTGTAAAATAGCAGTTGCACTCAATATGGGATGTGTGTTATTTGGAGATGTTCCTCTTCCTTCCTCGTTTGCAGGCATTCACTTTGGTCTCTGAACAAAGCCTGCTTTGTGGTAGGAACAGTGATGGGAGGATGGTTAGACTGGATGATCTTTTTGATCCTTTCCAACCTTGTGATTCTATGATTCTATGCTGCTCTGGGGGCTGGCATGCAGATGTGTGCTGCTGTTCCTAGGGTCGTCCCATGTCTGTGTTTGTTCCACTTTGGCCACTCTTCAGAGACAGCTGCATGCCATCCTTGTCTCCTGATTCATTTTGCCTTCATCTTAATAAGATGGGGCCTGGCAGAAAGAGATCTCTTCATTTCACCTAAAAAGGTGGTCCAAAAAATGTAACCTACTGTTATTTCCCATCTCCTCACCTGCACAAATCCCTGCTTTCTGCCTCTGCATCCCTCTACGCTCAGTATTGGCAGCACACAAAGTGATTTCATCGGTTTGTCGGCAGTTGGTACAATCTTGTTTTCATTATTATTATTTGCAATGTATTAAAGAGGAATCAGGAGGGAAGGTGCAAATGCAGTGGCCTAACGGTGGATAAAACACAACTATGGTGGTGCAGATGGATGTGGAGCTCAGATGAAGTAAGGCCTCGTTCAGATGGGATGGAATTGCCAGGACAGACACTTCAGAAGCAGAATGTGGATGTTTTGTGGGATAACAAAAGGACGATCAGTATGAAAGTGTGTTTTTGCAGACATAGCTGAAATGGCATGTGGCTCCAGATGACATATTGATTTATTGTATATAAAACTGTCCATGCCCATTTTTAGAAGTCTGATGATTTGTCGCACACAGTCAAGAGGAAAATTCCTGGGGAAAAAAAAAAAAAAAAAAAGAGCATAAAAAGCCAACTGGGCTTATTTAGTGCCCATATAATGGCATTTTCCCCTATTTTTAGTGCATGTTGGCACCATCCAAGTGCAGAATCCTCAGAAAAAGTGCTGGGGTGCCTTAGAAACACACTGTATGTTTAGGCAAAACACAAAGCAGCCCTGTGTCTAGATGGGAGGCCTGCATGAGCGTGGAAGGGCTTCAGCCTCTGCTGATTCACTACTGCCCAGCTCCCAGTTTGTGTTCTGCAGAGCTTCGGGTCCTGCCAGCAGGGACAGCTGCAGGACTGATCATTTGCAAGTTCAGGCCGTGACAGCAACTCTCCACATCGTGCAGTTAACCTCAGTTTGTCTGAGGGAGGATGGAAGGTGGATGATGTGCAGGCTGGGAGATGAGGCCGCACGCTTGGGGTCTGGCTGTGGATGCCCAAGCTGAGGATGCGGGCTGGGTGTTTTCTCTCACATAGATTGAGCCTGCTGGAAGTGAATAGTTTCTCTGGTTGTTTTCAGCACTCTCCAAAGATGAGTCAAGGACCTACCCTCTTCTCTTGTGGCATTATGGGTAAGTAGCAAAAACTTCTGCCCGTATTTCTTTCATCTGCGCTCCTGGGTCCTTGGCAATGCGTGGGAAGACGTCCTCATCTACTGCACCTCTCCTAAAAGTGCTGCCCTGCAAAGCCTGGGATGCAGCCCACCCATGCCCTGTGCCTTGGGGTTCAGTATTGCCCATCCCACTGCCCCTAGTATGGGAAGCCCCTGCCCAGGGGTGGTTTGCTGCCCCGCAGTGCTGAGCGCATTGCTTGTCTCCTTCCCCACTGCTTTGTGTGCATCTTTGAAGTTATTCATGCAGTTGGGATCATAAGCATTTTGGCTCTTAGACTGTGTGTCTCGTGTGTTCGAGCATCCATCCCTCAACTACAGCTCTTGACTGTTTGCATGATAAGTTTTCCTGGTTGTTTTCAGCACACTCCAAAGTGTGCTGAAATGATAAATACCAGTATTATAACTAAAAATATTCTTCCTTTTGGCACAGTGTGTATGGACAGACCTCAGGCAACAACAAAAGTATCTTTTTTGCCTTTCACAATAACATAAGCTGTTATATATGATGTTTAACACCATTTTTTGGTGTAGCTTGCTACCAACTATCTTGCTGAATGGCTACTGAAATTGATCGGGTTTTGGTGCATCAGCCCAGGATCTTGAAAAACAGTAATGCAGGAGGATGTGTCACTATACAGTGCTCTTTGGGTTTTGAAATGGGGAGCCAGTCCCTAGGCGAAGTCTCAAATGCCAATTAAAATTGTAGGTCAAATTTGAGCCAAGCTACTTGGTATGAAAGCCAATGCTTTGCAGACAAAGCAACTGCCCCTTTTCTTCGTGGACACAACTCTCATTAGCGTTAATGGGAGCTGAGCACATGCATTGAGAGGAGATATTTCCCAAGCTCTCCGATACTTGAGTTGTTTGGAGGAGGGGGGAAAAGATGGAAAATGTTTTGATATTTTTTTTTCAGATGAAAGTCACATGCTTCAAAGTCAAGAGTGGGCAGAAACAGTCCGTCCCCTTTCTCCTGTCTGTCAAAAACGAGTAAGGAACAAAGAAATCCAATCAGATGGTTTTGTTTTGTGCCGTGGCACTGGCAGGCTCTTCCACAAATATGAAGAGTCTAAGCCTAATTGAAAATCAGCTTGGTGTTAATAGCTTTTACAAAGCCGTTTGCGTCTTCCTAGCGCTGCGTTGCTCTTCCTTGGCTGCCAAATTATCCTGTTTCCAAGGGAACCTAATCTCACCTCCTTGACCGACAGCTTACCATGTAATTGTCTTTGTCATGCCCAGTCAAGAGGACTGAGTCTCTGGGGTGCGAGAGAGCCCTGTTTGGTTTGTGCTTAATTTTAGGCATCTTTCCCAAACGCTCTTCTTGATGTCTTCAAACTTGGGCCACGACCACAAACCAACTCCGTGCTGAAACTTGCTGATGCATTTTGAAAGAGTTGCAGGGTTATGATGGCGCTGAATGCGCAGTGGGTGAATATTTCAGGCTGAGAGCAAAAGCGTGGAAATGAATGAATCTGGGAAGGTTGGAGTGGTCCCCAGCCAGCATCAGCTTGGTCACGTAGCATATCCTGAGCAGAGCAAGGCCCGGGCACTGGGGGTTCTCACCACATCTCACCACATGTGGTGAGATATCCAGGGATGCATATCTATGGGAGGGGTAGGAAGAAGCTGGCCAAGGCCCCAGCTGTGCACCCCATAACCAAGAAACCCAGCTAGCCTGGGCTGGCACATGCTTGTGTGCAGCGTAAGGTTGGTTTGAGTGTCACTTGCTACCTCTCCAATGTGACTGCCAGAGCACTGGGGCTGGCAATAGCAGAGGGGATGCCAGGTACGGGGGTTGCCCCCATTGCCCAAGCATGTATTTGTGTCCTCGGGCCAAACATGAAGAAGGCAAAACATGAGCATGGCAAATGCCTCAGTATGGCACGCCAGCAGCAGCACAAGGCACTCTGCTGATACCAGTGCAGGCAAAATATCCTGAGAACCACTTTGAATGGGAAAGGAGTACACTGACACCCACACCTTTTACATGTAAGCCTCTCATAAGGTACTGAAGTCTGAGAAGATCCGAAAATCAATTGTAACTTTTAAAAAACTGAATACATTAGTAAGCTTTATTAAAGACTTGGTGTGTCAGATCCAGTATTTGCAATATTTGCTCCACTTCTCAAGGTGAGCTAAATGTTTAGATTTATGTGTGGGATGATAGCAGTATTACTAAGACCGTTGAATTTGTAGTTTCAGGCATTTCATCGTAATTCTTTTTCCCAGCAAAGGGCTATTTAGAGAAACAAAACCGATTTCCTCTTTCCCTTCTCCTTGATGTGCCCTTAAAACACCTGGGAGTAAAGGAATTGTCCTGTTACCAGATGGAGATCTGTTTCCTTTTCTTGCCGTGCGTTCTCCACTGTGCACCCCTGTGAAGGTATCAGTGGCTGCGCTAGAGAAGGCAGCCAGCATTTTAGGAAGTTTGGGTATTATTTTTGGCTTGCTGCATTGAGAATTTTCTGTCTGTGGGTGGATGGTCGTGGAAGATTTACACTATTTTAACAATGCCCTGGTGATATTGCCTGATTGCTCTCTAAGCAGGTATGTAAGAAGCACTTGGCGTCTCAATCAGTAGCAGCAAGCAGTACTCTTTTGCACCCCTCTGCAAGAAGCTTAGTGGATTTGTAACAATAGCCACAGCCTCACATCCTCTGAGAACAAGAAGTAATTTTTGACCTGGCATCCCAACTGTTTAGTGAGCCAGGTGACTGCTGGTGAGAGAGAGGTGATGAGGGATGTTTTATTTTGACTGAAACTGTGTGGATTTTGCCCTTGTCATATGGCTATTGACACCAAGCACGCGCCACCTGGGCACATTCTCAGGCAGTAAGTATGGGCCTGTTGTTTGCATTTCCCATTGAAGCACAGCTCCACACATCTTTTTTTAATCTTAGTTGTGCCATGGGAAAGCAGGAGGGCTGTCAGGCTCCGTGGCGCTGCCATCAGCTAATTACAGCCATTGAATTTGTTCCACGTTTAGGAATCATTTCTTGAACGTAAACAGGGGGCAGTGGAAAATACAAACTCCCTTTCCATGCTGCACAGAGGGTGGGAGACCAACGTTCGACGCAAAGAACATGTGAAAAAGGGAACTGGATGCACACCCAAAGGAAGAGAAATGTTTGGGTTGGGATCCAAATGGAGTTTATCTGCCAAAAAGGAGGGGGAAGAAAAATTGATTGAAGCCCGTAATCACTTTACAAGTTTGCTGCAATAAATTATGTATGAATGTAAATTATTTCACAGGAGAAGAACGGAGAGGAAACTTGAGCAGAAGGATCATGCATTATGTATAGAAAGCAGCCGTAAAAATATTGCAGCAGCACATTTGTGTCGTGGTAGTTAACGTTGTGTCAGCGTTTTGATTTGATGCCTTTCTCTGTGGTGAGGAGCCCGGGTGGTCAGGTTTTGGTGCCCAGATCTCGCTGTAAGGGCTGTGGTGGTTGCTTCAGGGCTTACTGAAGCTAAAGCATAGAGCGAGGGCATTGTCCAAACACCTCTTGAGCACTCACACACTTGGGAATCGGCAGAGAACAGCCAGCTCTCCTCTCAGCCTCCTCTTCTGCACACTGGACAACCGAAATGCCTTCAGCTTCTCACAGAAGTGCCCTCCAGGTGTTACGTGCCTTTCTGGAGCTCATGGACAAGGGAGCTGGCAAGTTCTTGTGTGGCCAGTGCAAAATGTGGAGCTCAACGCATGGAAATGTGCCTACGGTGACCTGGATGCCTTCATCTGATGAGAGCTGCTTGTGCAGAGATCTTAGGGATGCTTTGAGGATGGTACCAGTCCCCATGGGTGTGGAACAAAGCTTCTGAGAGCCTCGTGACCTGGACCTGTGTGCTTGTTTGATGTGATAGAGGTTACCCAGGGAAAAAGATGGATGTTCGAGGCTGTGTGCCAGACATGTATGCTTGAGAGAGGAAACACCAGGATTTTGCCCCAGAGGAAGTTCAGAAGTAGATGGCAGTGTTTTAAACCTGATGCCTGATAAATTCATCCTTGTTTCATCGATGGGCATGTTCAGCAAGGGCCTGGAAGCATTTAGTTCTGCAGTTTCAAGTTAAAATCCATAAGTAAGAGGCCCAGGCTATTTTGTCTGAGGACACTGACCACCAAGAAGGACCCATTTAAGCAGGGAAGTGCCCCCACATGCTCTATCTACATCATGCCTTGGTTGTGAATGCCTTCCCATCGTTTTCTGGTGGGCAAAGAGTGCTCTCCAGCAAAGCCGTTTATTTCTGAACTGAGGAGTTCTCATGATGGATTTTGCCCTGGAACAAATTGCTGCCTCTGGGTAAACCAAGCTGAGGTTTGTAATTTAAGAAACTTAATACATGCGTAACCGCAGCAGTATTAATGATTCCACTGCAATTATTGTTATCAGTGCTCTCAGGATGTGAATCTTAGTCTTAAAAAGTTGAGCAAAAAGACAGACTTTTTTTCCTCATAAGTGGCTCCCAAGTCTTTTAATTACACCCTCAATGCTTAGATGATCCCTGTTTTCAATTTGTTACTCTGTTAGCGTCACTTTGCTTCGGAAAAAGACCACATTCTAGGTTATTGTGGGGCTTTGCATGGGTGGTTTGTCCTGGGGGGCGACAGGGGAATGGAGCACCCCATGCATGAGCATCTCCTGGATGGCAGCTGCCCTGCCGGAGCCCCAGTTTCCTTCAGCACAAGCTGAGCACAAAGGAGGAAAGCAAACAATAACCCAAAGTTGTCGGTCGGGATAACAGTATGCATGCAATTTTCTTTGTGATTTGTTTTTTGGGTTTTTTTTTTTTTTTGAAGTTTTACAGCTGTTTGTGCAGAAGTAATGTCGAAAGAGGAAGGTATCCTGTATCCTCTTGAACAAGCTTACCAAGGCCCTTTTGTAAAACGTGACGTCTGGGCATGGGGGTCGTGGCAGCTTGCCATAAAAAATTAGCTTCTATTTCTGTTTCTTTTGTCTGGTGACCTGACCCGAGAAATCTCTTTGCTGGCAGCATAATAAGGAGGGAAAATAATAAAGATCTAAACATAGATGTAATTGTTTAGCACGGATTTCTCACTTCTCATCGTGCTTTTTGAAATGAGGACAGCAGCGGTTAAGGCACGGCGCAGTGCAGCGCAGGGCTGCTGGGGGATGGTGGTGTCCAGGCAGCTGCTGGCAAGGGGAAATGGGGAAAGGAGCCAAAAGGGGTTTATGGGGTATCAGCTTGCAGGGCCCCAGGTCTGACCTCCCAACTGGAAGCGGGCCCTGGTAGGAAGCGGTCTGTGCTGTGGCATCTTTCCTGCCATCAGGCTGTACCTGCAGCTGCAGGCTGGGCACAGCTTTGAGTTGATTGATCTAAATGGAAAAAAAAAAAAAACAACAACCCAAAAAAACGCAAAAACAACCCTAAAAAATACTGTACCATTTAGATATGATCACATGAAACTTTGCAGCGACGGTTAGCTAGCACGGTTTGCCTCCCGACAACAATAACAGTTACCAGAGAAGGTCTGTTGGGTGATGACTTTTTTCCATTGCAGCAGCCAGTGGTGCAGCCCTACCATGGTTTTCCTGTTGAGCATCAGCGGCGTGTTTGTACAGAGCCCTGCTGGCCCCAGCAGCCTGCGACAAGGAGCCCGGCCCTGATGGTCCTCCTTTCTTCTTTTATAGTCAGGGAACCATGTGTGTGAATGAGATCATCGTGCTTAATCCTCTTTTCACGTGGTCATCGCTGGGATCTCTGCATGCAGCTGCAGCCTGCTTTGCAGTTTCCCCGTGTCCCCGTGGATATTAGGAAAAATTTCTCAGAAAGAGTGGTTATGCATTGCCACAGGCTGTCCAAGGAGGAGTGGGGTCACTGTCCATGGAGATGTTTCAGCCGTGGGGATGTGGCACTGAAGGATGTGGTCATTGGGCACCATGGGGGTAGGATGGGGTTGGGCTTAGGAATCCTAAAGGTCTTTTCCAACCATCATGATTCTCTGGTTCTATGAAGTGGCTTTTGACCCATTACTGTACACATTTTGAATGCAGTTAGAACCCATTGACTTCGGAGCCACAAGTTTCTCAGAGCTTTGCGCAGATCCCCAAAGCCCATCTCATAAAATGAATGCCTTCAAGCCATCCCCTGAAACCTGCAGGTTTGAACGATCAGTGCAAAATGTGCAAAACTGGTGGGCACAGCAGCACAGGTGACTCGGGAGATTAGCATCTGGGCCAAAGCAGCAGGAAACCCCAGGTTGGGGGGAAGGATGGGAGGTGGGCATCTAACACAGTATCAGCCAGCATAGAGATTGTTACGTGCTCTAATTTCGGTTAGACATGGTGTCTTTGGGTAGCTGTAGGATATCAGGGGGAAGTTCTTTACTATGAGAGTGCTGAGGTGCTGGCACAGGCTGCCCAGAGAGGCTGTGGATGATGCCCCTTCTCTGGAGTTGTTCAAGGCCAGGTTGGATGGGGCCCTGGGCAGCCTGGGCTGGTATTAAATGTGGAGGTTGGTGGCCTTATCTGTGACAGGGAGGTTGGAGCTTCATGATCCTTGAGGTCCCTTCCAACCCAAGCCATTCTATGATTCTATGGCTGTGGGAGAGGTGCTCAGAGCCTTAATGGGGATGAAGTTTTATTGACTTCACTGGAGCAATGCTGTTTCAGCAGTCAGCAAGCAGGACAGCCCAGTGTGCATACGGCTTTGACATCCTGTAGGCTCTGATGTCCTGTCTGCATTTCTGTGCCCACAGTGGTGGCCATAACCTCTGCTGTGGGGAAGCCCCCAGGTCCATCTCAGCCCGGTGTTGCAGCAGCTTTGGGTTTGCAGCCCCGACTTTGGGTTTTTTGTGCACCTCTCAGGCAACCATTGCTTGTGGAGTCTGAGGAAAGCATCCAAGGCATGATCTACCCCAGAGATATGACAACGAAGTGTCATTTCATAATGCTGGATGCCCCTTAGCCAGTGCAGTCTGGATATTCAAAGGCAAATTCCTATCATCTTCTAGCAGTTTTGCTCCTGCTGCAATTATCGCTTTGTCTCTCTCTCTCCATCTATGCCACAGCAACCATTGTGCAGGCGGTTCAGAAAACCATATTCCGAGCGTTAATTAATTTGTACTGCAAAACGTCCCATATGCTACTCTTTGTTTATGCACGTGGAAAGCGAATCGCAGAATTAATTAACGCTAATGCCTGTGGCTGTGTGTGTGTTCTTATCATTTCTGAACCAGAAAATGACAGATGGGGAGACCTCAGCAGGAAATGTCCACTGCAGATCGAGCAGCCGGGCACCAGCATCTGGGACTGCCTGGCTGACAAGGGTGAGGAGGGCGCGCTGTGGCCACGGGAAGCCACCAGCACCTGCTCAGTGACCAACCTCATCAAAGAGCTCAGCCTCAGCGATCCTCACAGCAACCCATCGGCGCCGCCCAGCAAGCGCCAGTGCCGCTCGCTGTCTTTCTCGGATGAAATGTCCAGCTGCAGGACATCGTGGAGACCTTTGGGCTCCAAGGTCTGGACGCCGGTTGAGAAGAGGCGGTGTTACAGCGGGGGGAGCGTCCAACGCTACTCCAACGGCTCGGCCACCATGCAGAGGAGCTCCAGCTTCAGCCTGCCGTCCCGCTCCCATCCTCTGGCTTCGTCCTGCGACCACCGTCCGGGCTGCCTGCCGAGGAGATCGGGGGCTGGAGGTGACGCCTGGAGCCCCGAGGGCGGCCGGGTGGACATGCAGCGCTCCCTGTCCTGCTCTCACGACCGCTTCTCCTCCTCGGAGCCCGGCCCGCCCTCGGCCAGCAGCACGCCGGCCTCCACACCGCAGCTGGGCCGCCGTGCCGGTGGGCTGTGCCGCAGCCGCTCGCAGCCCTGTGTCCTCAATGACAAGAAGGTGGGCGTCAAGCGGCGCCGGCCCCAGGATGCACAGGAGCCGCGGCCCTCGCTGGACCTGGCCAAGATGACCCAGGTAAGGCTGGGAGCTGGGCACGGCCTCCCTCTTCCTGTGCCACGTGCGGTGGCGGGGATCTGGCTCACGCTGCGCCCCAGCAGCAGGCTCAGAGCTTTGTACCTATAGCAGCTGCACTTTTGTTCCAAGCAGTGGTTTGCTCCGTCTGTGCAACACTGGTGTCCCAGTGTTGTTCGTAACACTGCATCAGGTGAGGCTTAGAAACATCCTGGTGTTTTCACTCCTCATCATATAAACGCGTTTGTTCCCCCCTCAGGGATGTGATACTTGATGGCATTTCATGCCTGGCAGCTCAACGGGTGTTCAAATGAGCTCATTTGTGCTGGAGGATGTGATTAGTTTTTCCTCCTCCAGAAGAGCTTAACAGATAAAAGGAGTCAGAGAATGACGTGTTGGGGTGATTGCGGAGGACAATGCATGGCACTGCAATCATCTTTTGATAAACCATGCCAGTAACATTTAATATGCTGAGCTTATTTCATTAGCTAATAAGCTGGACGGGCAGAGAAAACAACTGACACTTGTTACTGCCTTTTACTAGCTACAATTGGCATGACTGAAGGCCCTCTCATTTCCTTGCGTTGGTGGAAACATTTCTAAAACACACCCAGCACAGCGCTGTGGTTGGCAGCAGGCTGGCTCTGAACGCTTTGTTCTATCCATCAAGTTCTCACCGTGGACGAGGAGATGGAATGCAGTTTAGCCATCTACTTTTTGTCGTGCCTCCCCCGCTCTAGTTCTCTCCCAGTGAGCAGCCACTTGTTGCTTCACCTGTAGTGCAGGGCAGAATCTCCTACAGGCCTGGGTGGGAGTTTGTGCAGCGCTGAACATGTTCGAGGTATCTTGCCATTGGAGCTGCTCACCTTCAAGGGGAGCTGACAGCGCTTGTTAGTGGAGGGATGTTCACAAGACCTTTCAGGATTAGACCAAAGTGTTGAATGAGTTGTGCAGGCCAATGAGCTGATGGATTACTGCACGTGTGCCCCATCTGCATTTGCTGGAGTAGTTGGTGGTGAACAAAGGGAAGAGATAAAAGACACTGTACTATTTTTATTCCCAGAGCTATTTTGAGAGCCCACACGGTGGTTACCGTCACAGTGATGCTTGTGCTGCAGTGAGATGAGTGAGAAATCGTTTCGGCAGTGCAAAGGAGAACCAACTGCAGGTTCAGGTATTGGTAGGAGGAATACAGACAAGAAGGGAGCAGAACTCATGGAACGTACCAGTCCTGTTGCAGTTTCCCTGGGGATGAGTGCTTTGGGCTGTTGAAGTCAATGCAGAACAGGCTGTGCTGAATAGTGTGGACCATCCTCTTCAGGTCACAGCCATGGTGGGCTTCAATCTCTCCTTAAAGCAACAAATGAGTTTATTTTCATAGAATACACCACGTTGGCATGAACCCACAAGGACCATCATGTCCAACCCCCAGCTCCACACAGGGCCACCCAAACCCAATGTCTGAGAGCGGTGTCCCATCACTCCCTTTTCCCGATATCCAACCTGAACCTCTCCTGACAGTTGATAAATAACCTGAAACTGAACCTCCCCTGAAATCTTTGAAAATGCCTATGATGCAATTATTATTTTTCCCAAAGGCTCTTGGTGATTTTCTGCTCTTTAATTGCCAACATTTGCAAATAAACGGCTGGGAAAGGGAGAGTGGCAGGTGGAGAGGCACTCCCAAAAACATCCATCCTGCCCTCCTACTGGCAGACCAACCAAGGGCTCAGGGCATCATCTGCAGGTCTTGGTGGTGCCAGCCCTGCCCAGGTTTTAAAAGAAGTCCTAAGGCATCTAACAAATCCCAGCCTGTCAGCTATGCTTGTGAGCCACACCAGGGTAAATGCCCAAATTAGGACCCACAAGAATCTAAGATGCACTCTTGGAGGATGGCAGACCTTGGTGCCTGCTGGCTGCAGTTCTAAGGCTGCATGAAAGATTTGGAGCCCACTGCAACCCTCTCCAGACCACGGGGAGCTGGGCCACCGGCTCCCACAGGCTGTGGTTGCATTTGCTCATCCTGCAAGCGTGGCTGCAAAAGTGAAACAAAAAAAGAGAAATGGGGACTGCATGGACAAAGGGTTGTGGTTATGAAATAATACAGATGCTAAAAGCAGCCATATGTCACCATACTGAATGTGTTTGGTAATGGAATTGCCACAGAAAGGATGCTGATAGTGCCACAGCAGCTGTTTGGTAAGTGAGGGGCTGTGAGAGGAGCAGAGGGGGAGCAGCTGTTCCCTTCCTGCAGGAAAAACCACGGGAAATGCCCCTATGTGGTCCCAACACATAGACCAGTGGGAGCTGGGATGCTTGGAGTGAAGCTGAAGAGCAGTCTGAGCTCTGAGCAGAGGATGTCAGGGGTGTCCCTGGATGCTGAATGGTGCTCGTAGGCCTTTGCCCAAAGGTGTCACATGTGCGTGTCACATTTCCCTTGCACTGGATGTGCCTGAAGTTGCTGGACCCCAAATGCAGAGTTAACTCATCAAATTGTTCTGGGAGGCCTTAGGGCAGAGCGAGCTTCTCTGTTGGCTTAACCAAGGCGGATGTTTGTCAGCTGGGAAGCAAAGCAGTGGAAGTCTTGTGCAGGGAGACTCCGGCTGAGCCTGCGGAGCTTCCCTTTCCCTCTGGACACCAAGCCTGGGTGCACGTATAATTTGTGTAGCCTTGGCTTTGGACTCAAGTAAGGGCCCAAAGAATGACAAAAATCAGATCACTCACATGGCTCAGTGCAGCTCGGTTCCTTGAAAACCTCAACCATAAGGAGTAGCTGTATTTTCTCTGGCTCCTGTACTCTACCTCAAAACATCCTCCAAGCCTGAAAAGCACTGCCTGCATGACCTGCATTACCCGGCTGCCCTCCGGCACCAGAGCAGAGGAGTGCTGCTGCCAGGACGGCTCACGCTGCTCAAGCAGCGATGCCATCAAGGAAGGAAGCCCCTGTGCTGGTGGCACCTCCTCCCCACCCGTCGGTGCCAGCTCTGTGGCCAGGCTGCTGCTGGCTGCCTCCCATGCGTTGCTAGCACAAACAAACAACGTGGCCATCACCACAGAGCCCAAGGAGCTGGCCCTGTGCCTGTCCTCATGGAGCAGGTCTGACCCACGCAGGGCTGGCTGCTGAGTTGGAGGAAGCGGGGCTGCAGCTCTGCATCGGTTGCAAAAGCAGACTTAGGAAAAAGCAGTTCTGGGGGCTGTGCAAAGGATGGGGTTTTCCTCATTGCTTAGTTGGGGTATGGAAAGTTTTTCACCCGAAAGCTGTCTCCACGTGGGAGGACTGGCAGGGAGCAAGATGAGGCAGGTTATGGTGAGCATTCTTGCTTTTGGTGGGGCCGGATTTTGGGGTGTGAGGCACTGTGTTGGAGCCCTCCTCAAGAAGGGAATGTCACAAAAACCAGCTGCTTCCTCTTGGGAGACACTGTGGTCAGTGTGCTTGAGAAAGCCACGCAGATTTGGGTGTTGGGATCAGTGTTCCCTTAGGCAGCTTTTAATGACTGTCAGGCAATGGAAGTGGTTGGGTGATTTGAGATGAAGAGCGGAAAAAATGGCAAGGGTCCACATTGCTGCACGTTTTCTCTTCTCTGGCCTTAGGGGAGGTAGAAATGGCTTATAGGCATTCATTTCACAGCTGGGGAAACTGAGTCCCACCAGCAGAGTCAGGGACCGAGCCCGGCTCCCAAATCAGCATCTGGCTCTGGCAGCACATCAGTTAATTCTTTGCTCATGCTGGTAACCACATGTGTTTACAGGCCATAAACCCGGCACCATAATCAAAATAAGAATAATTTGACCTGAAATAAATGCTTTCTTCATACCAAGAAGGATACCTGGGCCAGGCAGGAGGCTTTGAGGCAGGAGGGTTTGAGGCAGGAGGGGAGTGAGCTGCTCCTGGAAGCAATTACATGGCCACATAGCTGGGCTAATTAAGAAAGGGATCTAAATGTTAAAGTTCTTCTGGGAGGGAAAATACTTGGAAAAAACATTGCCTTTAATTCCTCAAAGCCCTCATTGCCTGTTTTTGTCTATTTTTTCTGCATTTTCCTTAGAGAGGTGGACTCACGCTGCTCATGTACTGGTACAGCACCAAATCAGAAAGGCATCAGCGTTGGGCAGATACCAAACCCTGAAAATCACTGTCCTTGAAATACCCTTTTTGATACAAAATGGTCACAATCATATTTTTCCGTGGGCGGCGTGGTTTCTCCAGCACCTTTTCTCAAAGCCTTGGGTGGGTGCAATAGAAGATGCAGGAGAGGGGTGACGTTGCAGGGTCTTGTGGGCTGGCGGATGGGCAGGATTTGGGGCAGCACTGCAGAGCTTCACTGCAGCGCAGACGTTGATTCATGCTGTGCCATTTGACTCATCCACAGAGCGCCGAGCCAGGGGCCGGCCCTGGTGTTGCCGTATGTGCTGAGCAGATTGCTTCCCTTCACACAGGCTCTGGAGAGCGGCAAGGGAGACGAAACACGTCTGTCGCAGCGATCGCGGCGGCCCTGGATCAGAATCTGAAATCATCCTCAGTCATGGCAGAATGGGTCCTTGCTGTCTCTTGCCCGTTCTGCTTCCTGCTTTGTAAGATGTTGATACGGCTGTTGGTACGAGATGTGAATTTGTGTTAGCACGTTTCCAAACGCAGCTATCCTTTTTAAAACTGTTGGTGGTTGGTTTTTTTTTCCAAGTGGCACGTGTATATATGTATTTGTTTAGCTCTCCCTGCAGCATGCAGCCCTGACCTGAAGGCAGGGATGGCCACGTGTCCAGGGCAATATGCATGGGAAGATGGACATCTTCCTGGTATGTGCCTTGACACCTCTGTGACAACAGCAGTCAGATGCAGTAACAGAGAGCTGTTCTTGGGAACAGGGGAAACCTTATTGCTCTCTACAACTCCCTGAAAGGAGGTTGGGGTGAGGAGGGCGTTGGAAGGACCTTGTTCCCGAAGCTGCTTGCCCTGGAGGGGTGCTGGTGTGCTTGTGCCACGTACAATGGGGCTATTCACAGCG